TTGGATATTTGCTTAGCCTAGAAATGCGTATTTGCTTCTAATTGATCTTCTATCATTTTTGGGTTTTTATGATTATCAACTACAATTTAGCAACTATGAATTATAACTAAATTATGCTAAGATAATAATTCTAGGTTGTATGCAAGATAGAGAAAGGCACTAGGGTCGTGGCATTTACCTAGGTGGTCAACTAACGGGTAGAGATTCCTAATACAAGAATGATGATTATGCTATAACCGTTGCACGATTGCACTGACTCTCACACCTCTCGGTAGAAAGAGTGATTTTGCCGAATTGACTCTCTCGAGACCAATTGGGTAGGCTAACAAGCCAAGCAACTTATGGTTCAAGTTGGGTAATTACTCTCTCGAGGTTTTACCCGTTAATTGGGACTACCATTCTCATGGGTCCATCCCAATTCCTTGTTGGGTTAATTTTGGAGTCATAGACACTCTTTCTCAAGAAGAGTCAAGACTCACTAAGCTAGACTTAGTGTTTGCAACCACCAAATCCTAGTTAAAACATAAAATTAACCCAAATATCAAACACCCAACATCATTCAACCATTAAACAATCACACCCATTGATTACCCACACTAGGGTTGAGCCATAACCCTAGCTAATGGGTTTAGCTAGCCATAATAGCAACAGAAATTGAAGAAGAAATAGATAAAATTAGCATATTAATTAACTAGAATGTTAATCTACAAGAATCCACGTTAAAACAAGATGAAAATGCCCAAATTAGGCTAAAACTTGAGTCTCACGAGTGCTGCTGCTATCTGATATCTAAAACTTTACCTAGAAATAATAAAATATTCTATTTATACTATGCTAGAAAGACTGGACAAAAATACCCCTGCGGGGCTGGCGCGGACCGCGCAGAAATGCAGCGCGGCCGCGTAGGGGTCTTGGCCTTCGATCATTCACTTCTGAAGCTGGGGACGCGGACCGCACAAAGAGGTAGCGCGGACCGCACAACAATGCAGCGCGACCGCGTGGACTCCAGCGATGACCGCGTAGAAAAGAGAGCTGACCGCGCATGAAAACCCCTAAAATGGATGCTCTCTGAATCTCCTAGCGCGGCCGCACAGCAAATCAGTGCGGTCCGCGCTAGGTCCTTTTGTTCCTACTTCAATGAATTTTGACACTTGAGCAGGTTTCACTCCGTTTCGAGCTGATTTTTGACCTTTGTCATCTTGTCGCTCAAACCTGCAATCAAGCGCACTTTGTAAGCATTCTGGGTCTATTTTATGACAATTCATACATAAAGCATAGGCAAGTATGGGCATAAAACGTGTTAAAATCACAGTTATCAGACATCAAAAAGAGATTGTATCAACGAGCAATGGTAAACGACAGAGAGCTGAAGCAAAGTAACACTTACCAGACGGGACCTTCGGTCCGAAGCGCTTGTAAAAGACCGCCCAATCACGAATCCCCGCCATGTAAGGTAGCACGCGAGCCACCCAATCTTCGATGTCGAGAACAGGGGAGGGTGTACGTCTTTCAGCTAAAATACAAAGAGACCGCAAATGAGCCGAAAACAAAGGGGCGAAAAAAATAACGAGCGTATGACAAACACTTACGATTATGGTTCCATTGCTCAGGAAACCCATTCGGGTCCGCCACCAAGTGCTCGATCTTGATAAAAAAGTACTTATGCCAGAACTTCCGATTCGTCCTATCGTCCATTCCGACTATCAACCCTCTGGTCCCGCGATGCCGTAGGTGTATTATAGTACCTCTATAAAAACTTGGTGAAAATAAATGCAGCAAGTGACGAAAATCAACCTCACAACCAGCCAACTCCGCGTACTTCGACAGCATCAGAAAAGCTTTATATAAATAAGGAGAGAGTTGTGCCGGGCAGACGTTGTAAAACCAGCAAAATTCCTCCGCTAGCGGAAGAAGGGGAAGAGTGTAACCGATCAAGAACGAGTAGACATAGAAGGCACAATACCCAGGTCGATGGACCTCCACTATGTCGCCTCCAACCGAAATTATCTCGACGTGGTGGGGAATGTGATATTTGGATCTAAGCTCTGCTATATGAGACGAACCAGTTTCGGAGATCACCTGAGCGGGAGCAGGAGCAGGCTCCTTGGGAAAATCATTTTTATACAAAGGGTTTCTAGGAACTATCTCCTCCGCGGTCGGAAAGCTCTCGTCTTCTTCAACCATAAATTCCTCACCACAGGGAGGAGGAGCCACCGATAACGGAGTAGCATCGAAAACTTCATCATGAATGCGGAAAGTTTGTGATATGTTTAGACAATGGAATGTGTTTTATCAAACTCAAAGAAGAAGATAACAATTAGGCAAGGAGGAGAGGAATGGAATCAGAAAAAAGGAAATCAAGAGCAGAAACTGGCAAAGAAGATCAAAGAAGAATAGTGCTCGTGCAAGGTGAGGGATGGTGAAAACTTCTGAAAAATGAAACCCCCATCTATTTATAAGGCTGGGTAGCGCGAGAATCGAAGCAAAGGATTGTCAATGGCACCAAAACCAAAGCGACAGGCACACAGACGCTATCTCGGAAAGATGTGTAATGATGACGCGCGTGGCCATGGCATCACCCCCTAGTAGCCATACCAATCACGACTTCAATGGTTGCGCCGTTCTCTCCACCTCGACCAACCCGACTTATTCAACATAACCAAATTTTTCCAAAACGGGGGCGAATCAGATCCACTTATCAAGGGCGTGCAGGACCACGACCTCAACAAGCGGAGGGACTAACTGTATTGGTCTAAATTTGGCGACTAGGCAGTAAGGGATAAGCGAGATCAAGGACGGGGTCGACCACAGTGTAATAACTAAAGGCTGCTCTCGAGAGGGCTGATGCCAAAGACGGGCAGCTGAGATAAAGAAATAACAGTAGCATAGGTTCAGATACGGATACAAAGAATATTCCTTTGGATATTCCTTAATTTGTACTTTTTAGGGTTTTAGGAAAATATCCCCTATAAATAGGAGGAGATAGAGAACAAAAAAGGGGATCTTCACTTTATGAGAAAAACACATTGTAAAAGGTTGACCTGAGAGAATATACAACAGTTGTCTTGTTCATTGATTATCCTATTCAAGCAGACGTTTTTACTTCTTTATTCACAAGATCCAAAGATCCCTCAACCCTCTTTATTTCTCTTTTCTCCACGCTGGTGTCAGAGAAAAGAATCATCCAAGTCTTACAATAATTGGATGGTAGATTCCTTTTTGTTACTCCCTCCGGTCCAAAATAAGTGATTTTTCCAGATTTCAAGGATGAATTAATTATTTTTTTCCTACATTGTCCTTGAAGTAAATAGTGTTGGAATATGTGTTAGGAGTGTTTATGTGAGATAGTAAAGGTTAATATGGTCAATTCCATTAGTAATTAATGCTAAAAGGTGAATTTCTTAATCTGTGTGAAAACATCCAAAAAATCACTTATTTTGGACCGGAGGGAGTACTATATTCATTGTCATTATCTACATTTATTGCACATTTATGTTATTGCATTTACGGGTATTTAATCAGTACAAACACACTGATTAACGTTATTTATCTTAACCGACTTTTCATAATATTTGGTCTAGATTTTATTATTCTTAACTAAGATTCACCTTTGATTTTATCATTAATTGATTTAACCGAAAGGTTCAACAATTTTTTGTCAAACAATTATGAGACAAGCGATGCAATAGATTTTCAAATAACCCACCATTAGATTAGATAATTACAAAATTCAACAAATAAGTGCAAAATTTTAGCGTAATTATTCTGCCTGTTTTATTTTATATACTCCACATTGTTAAACGGAACACATAACTTAAGAAGAATTAAAGAGAGAGACTTTTGATACAAACCACGAATATCCTTAAACTTTATAGTTTTGAACATCTCATGACATTTCCTTAGCTACAAGAGGTACTATTAACATGGGCGGCTCAATAATAATATCAAATAAAATTTTTGTCCAGTATTAAGAAATTCATTAAATCTATAAGAATACTTAACTCAAAATTCAGTCAGCTAGTTCGATTATTATTGTATATTAACTTTATATCATTATAGGCATAAATTTGAAATACTAGATCTATCTCTGACTAATAAAGGTAAAATTTGAATTGTGCTACTCTTTTTCAAAAAAATTAAAAGTTGGAAGAGTGTCAACTTTTGTTAATTTAGCAATACTTCATGGCAAGTTTAATCTTGATTCTTAAAATGTTATGAATTCTTGAAATACTACAATTTCCTATTAACTTTAATATTCAGTGATAGTGAGACAAGATCTGTCCGCAGTCAGCACTCCACCAATCTGTCAAATAACACTATTTGTGAGTAGCTTTCTATGCACATGTAGTACCAATCGACAAAGCACCGTACTAACATTTTTAGCTTAATAACAACTAAGGAAATTCTAAAATAAAGAATCCCGAAATTTGAAAATAAAATTTACAAATTCAATTGAAAATTTGAAATTCTCAAAGTAGTAATTGTTTCATTTCGATTCTTGAGAACCAAACTATTTACTTACTTTTTATACTTATAAATAAATCGTTTAATTATTTCAGACTAGTCTTTGACTCTATAATTTTTATTTTCATTCATTGTAGATTTAAAATAGCAATCAAGTCAACCATTGTCCCAAGATTTGTGTTGTGAGACAGAGAGTAACCAGTACAATATGTTGTCTACTTTCTATTTTCAGAATATGGTTTAATTTATATTTAAAAAAATACTGAGATCTTGGTCAAATTAACTTCAATAATTCTTTCAATTGATATGCAAAAATAATTCTGTTGTAAATTTTCCCTCTTTACAAAATTCCTACTGTCCAAACTTGGTCAAAGATTTCATTACATTTTCAAAGATTGTTGTTGGGGTGAGATTTCCCTAAAACCAAAGTCAATTATTTTCCTCCATAAATCTAGTTATTTAGATACTAATAATAACTCAAAAACACCTTAATTAATGGCATTATCGTCATTCTCCTAAACTGTACGGAAAACATCTTGAATCTGAAGCTATATCATCTTCTTCTTCAGAAAAATTTGTCGGTGCCCTGTCCTATCACATCTGCCTCAAATAACCAATTTCATTTTCCACAAAAATACTCCAAATTCTGCTTTTCTTATTTATTCCTTTTACCTACATTGCCTATTTCTAATACTATAATTCTTCATTTTGTTAAGATCACATTTTCTTTTATCCCGCATTGCTACATGCGGGGATCATTAATCAGGTTTTAAACATACCCTCTTCTCAATTTCTTCTTTTAATTGATATTTGTTTCAAAGTTTCAATTTATATTAGATCTGAATGATAAAGTCCACATTTTTATTATTATTTCTTGATAATGCAGGTAATTTTGTGAGTGAATAAGGAAATGGGAGAGAAATCAAGAAAAGGAGGTTGGTGTGGTTGGATTATAGTTTTAATAGTGGTAGCAGCGGCTGCTGGAGCCATTGTTGTACTTGTTAAAAAGAAGCATAATGGTTCAAGCCCAGATGCTGCTCCTGTTCCTGGACCTCCTGGTTCTCCTACCAAGAAATATGCAGATGCTTTGAAAACTGCAATGCAGTTCTTTGATGTACAAAAATGTAAGGCCCCTTTTGATATTTTGAAGTAATTTTGTGTTTTGTGCTCATTATTTAGATCCATGTTGAAACATTTTCATTTACATTAATGCAGCTCACTTGTTCGATACTGTAGTTTGTTTTAATTTACTTTCCTTTTTGTTGGATACACTTTGTCTTTTTACTCTTGATCCTCTCCAGGATTTGTGTCATAATGACCTGGACATTTCATATGGATGTTGCACTTTGTAATGTCTTGGTTGCTCATTTCTATATTTGTTAAAAAATATATTATTTACTGTAATTGCGGGCTAAACTCTTTAATTGAAGTGGAATTGTAATTTTCTTATTAAAGTCAGTGCAATGAACTGATCCGTAGCTGAGGCGCCTGTGCTGGTGTAGAAGGATTAGTAATAAGAATGTACCTTTTGGCAGTGAGGGTAGGGAACTTATTAGCTGTCTAAACTATTTTCTCCTTATAATGTGGGACAAGGTCCAAATGTGTTGGTATCAACAGAGTTCCTAGATGAGGGTTTGGGAAGAAGCACATGGCCTTGTTTCTTTTGAATATGGAACAAGGTCTCAAGGTCACTGTATCAATTGAGCCTCCAGTGAGGGGTTCGGGAAGAGGTGCATAGTTCTTGTCTCCTTGCGATGTGAGACAAGGTCGTAAGGTGACAATCTAAGAAAATCACCCATTCGAGGGATTTGTCAAGATGTACATAGTCCATGTTCCCTCGAGAGCATCATCTAATGATGAATGGATCTGTCAATGAGTATTCTTGAGGTATTATTATGCCCGCACTGGTGGGTGGAAGCATTTCCCGAAAATACGCCTTATTCAGTCACCTTATCACTTCCCGATGTGTGACAAGGTTCTATGGCGATGGCATTAACAGACACATTTCCTGTGACTGATTGTTATAAGTTTCTACTGAGGATGTTCCTATTATAAATTATTGTCATAGTTATATTACCATGACTTCAAGTACTGTCCAGATATTTTTAAAGATTGATCTTAATACATACTGAAATGTTATTGGTGATTGCCCTAACTTAACCTTGTTGCTTTACGTAACTTGTTTTCTTGGAGACTTGTTCTAGTTTTTGTTCTTTTAAATTTGTACGTTGGGCTCACTTTCTTAAGGGTAAAATCTCTTATTGTTTCAGCTGGGAAGTTAGTAAATAACAAAATATCATGGAGAGGTGATTCAGCTGTCAAAGATGGAAGTCCAGCAAAGTTGGATCTCAGTAAAGGAATGTATGATGCTGGCGACCACATGAAATTTGGATTCCCTATGGCTTACACTGCCACTGTGTTGTCGTGGGCCATCCTTGAGTACGGTGATCAGATGAAGGTTGTGGACCAACTGGAACCTGCTCAAGACTCACTCAAGTGGATTACCGACTACCTTATCAATGCTCATCCAAAAGATAATGTTCTTTATATTCAGGTTCTTGCCTCAATTTTCTCTTTCTCGTATGCTTTTCTTGCTGCTGCTGCATTCAAGACTTATAGGCTTGCTGGAATGTTGAACTTTGGTCTTACTTTAGGAAGACTACTGATATTTAGAGATTTCTGCTATGAAACTTCCTTGTTCTTCATGGAAACTATTTAGGAGAATTCATCTTAAAGTGAAAACAAGAAAATTTCCCGAGTCTAAATCATTGTGAGGGAGAGTAAGTTTGCCTAATGTATTTAGTAAAAGAATATCATTACAGTTCTAATGGTGCAGAGGAGAGTGTCCTTATTTCATGCACTTAGCCTCGTATCTATATTGTTAACTACTCTATGTTCACGTTTTCCAAATTTGTTAATGATGGCCTGTTTGCTAATTGCTTAGTTGCTTGCAACATATAATACAAGTGAAGTGATAAGAAGTTGGTAAGTATTTCTAATGTGAAAAGAAGGCCCAGTTATAAAAGGCGCGCAACTTAAAATGCCATAAACATAGAAACGTTTAGTCAGATATCGTTATCAGTAAAAGATGAACTATATATATATATATATTTATTGTTAAAAGATGAAGAACTCTATTATTAAGTAGAAAATGACAATCCTCTAATATCCTACAGGAGTATCTTCAAATTACTATCAAAGTTTGATTGTCATGCATTACGGTATACTTAATACTCTTTTAATATGAATTAATAATTCTTGTAGTAATCAAGGATGGCTAAGCTTCATATCATCTCAAGCATACTGTCTATTTGTAGACCAACATGATGTTTCCATTTCCTGTCTCTATTATATAGGAGAGTTTAAGTTTGCATCAAGTGATCTAGTTCAGATAATATTTAACTCTTTTAGTTGTTTACAATTGCTTTTTCTGTTTTTGAACGTCAATCACGGTGATATTTCATTTGATCACATGTGTGTGAGTGTTTGTTTCACAAGCTCGACTCTTTGGCAGGTGGGTGATCCTGATGCCGACCATAAATGTTGGGATAGGCCCGAGGATATGACTGAGGAGAGGCCTCTTATTCAGATAAATGCTTCCGTCCCTGGGACTGAAGTCGCAGCTGAAACTGCAGCAGCTATGGCCGCAGCATCCCTGGTGTTCAAGTCCAGTGACTCGGCATACTCAAGTGATCTTCTTAAGCATTCTAAACAGTTATTTACTTTTGCCGACAAATATAGAGGTTCCTACAGTGAGAATATTCCTGAAGTCGCGACATATTACAACTCAACTGGATATGGGGATGAGCTCTTGTGGGCAGCAAGTTGGCTATATCATGCAACTGGAGATCAATCATATTATGATTATGCGACTGGGAAAAATGCAGATTCTTTTGGTAATTTTGGAAATCCAACTTGGTTTAGCTGGGATAATAAACTAGCTGGTACCCAGGTATTCTATTTTATATTGGTATATATAAGCAGTGTGTGTTTTGGATGTGAATTGCTCACTTTGTTTTTCATGTTTTGCACTTGAACTATTCAAAGTAAACAAATTGAATAAGTCAATGACTGCTTTAATTGCAGGTTCTTTTATCGCGGGTCAGCTTCTTTGATTCGAAAGGCACCTCAAACTCGGAGACACTTCAAGAGTATAGGAAAACTGCAGAAGCCGTAATGTGTGGTCTCCTACCGAAATCTCCAACAGCAACATCCAGCAGAACTGATAGTATGCCCCATCTAAGCTTAGCTCTATTTTTGTTCTTCCTGTTTTCTTCCCTATCAACACCTTTCTATGAGTATTGAGCAGATACTTGCATTTTTATTTGGAGTGGCTGACTTGCATAAGTCAACATAAAACGAGTCTATGTTTTACAGATTAAACCTATGTTTTTGTCCTATTTTCCTCTCTGTAATGGCTTGTGATATAGAAGACAAATTCAATATAAGTAGTGATTGAAGCATAAATCGAGAAACGATGTCTGAGTAGTAAATAGAAAAGCTGAAAATCTGCACCTAACCAGAACTAAATGCAATGAAGTAGAGATAAGAAACTACAGGCATTCAACTTTTCTTTTTCATATTCTGTTGAGGCATTAACTTCATGAAGTCCATAGATCTAAAACAAAATTTTTTACGGTCTTTATACCACTTTGACTGATGGTTGGAAAAGTACTATCTTCTTCTCTTATCATTCATTATATTTAGTAAGGAAAGAAAACTGATTGTGGTTTTAACTCTATCATGAAGCCTGTCTTAATCTTTTTCCTAAACCCTTTACAACAACCGTCTTGTAAGGAAAGATATGAGCTTAAAAGGGTAATTGTACTGAATGGTTAATTATTTCATTTAGTTCCACTCTCATTTCATTAGTTTACTTGTAACATAGTCTTTGTTACTCATTTCAAGCAAATGTTAATGCAGGTGGTTTAATATGGATAAGTGAATGGAACGCATTGCAGCATCCTGTAGCTTCTGCTTTCTTAGCTGTGCTGTACAGTGATTACATGCTCACTTCTCGGACTGCAAAAATAACTTGTAATGGAGACGCATATACACCATCTGATCTGCGGAAGTTCGCCATCTCCCAGGTACACTTCTTGGTCTTTGTACTTACTGAGAAGATATATATATATTTTTTTGGATATTTGATCTTATGTTTTATCAATAAGCATCCAACAACTATATCTTAATCCCAAGCACGTTGGGGTGGGTCCGTTATATGAATTATCAATCATGTTGCTTCATTTAAGTGCATCTCGATCCAATATCATGTATAAGAAAATTTAAAACAAAAATAGAAGTACTAGAATTTTCTATATTTACTACTGTCATTTAAATTTCTGATAGGACTAATAGACTTCTAGAAAACATTGGACCTGAAATAAGCGTACACATGACTAAAACTTAATTCTAACTAATTCGTGTTTCCTATAATCTTTTTATTCCATTGTCCCTATTTTTTGCTAGGTAAAACTTAATTCCAACTAATTGGCGTTTCCAGTATAGATCTTTTTCTTCCATTCTATTTTTTGCTAGGTCTGATTTTGAATTTACAAGCTTACAATTTTGGGGATGTACCCCACCTTTGTAGGCTGATTATGTATTGGGTGACAATCCATCGAAGATGAGTTATCTCGTAGGGTATGGTGACAACTATCCACAATATGTTCACCATAGAGGGGCTTCCATTCCTAAAGACGCTGATACTGGTTGCAAAGATGGTTGGAAGTGGCTAGATTCAACTGAACCTAATCCCAATGTTGCGACTGGAGCTCTTGTTGGTGGACCATTTCTTAATGAAACATATATCGATTCAAGGAACAATTCGATGCAAGCAGAGCCAACCACATATAATAGCGCTGTCATTGTTGGCCTTCTTTCTGGTTTGGTTACCACTTCCTCTGTGGTTCAATCTTTCACCTGAGGTGATAGCCTTCACGCGTGAGCCACCTCGTATTGTCTTCTACAGTATGTAGCTGCATACATAATTTTTTTATTTCTTGTAGCTCCTTGAACACATATATATAGGTGCATTATATATCTGTGTGTGTTAATGTTTGTGTGTACACATTACCTGCTCTATGTTACTAGTATTCGATTTACGCGCTCAACTGGCATATGGGTTTTTGCTGTATTAGTTTGCTCAAAAACATTATGCAAACTCTCTTGTTTTTCATCGCGTTAAAATTGCTAGATATGAGAAAGTTCCTATGATGGATTTAGAGGAACTAGTTCTGAGCATTTTTTTGTATTTGCAAATACTAGTTTGGCCATCAGTACAGCTTTTTAGTAGGTAGTCGAGTGTGTATCTTCCCCATACCAGTAGTATTAGTAGTTAGCTTTGTATTCTATTACTGATAAATCTCTATTACTACATGTTGATCATTCCACTTGTTTCCCGATTATTTTGTTGTTGTTACTGCTTGTTGCTATTGCTTTCTTTTCATCTTTCCTTGAGCTGAGGGTCTATCGGAAACAACCTCTCTACCCTCAAAGCAGGGGTAAGGTCTGCGTACACACTACACTAACTTCCCCAGACCCCACTTGTAGGATTATACTGGGTTTGTTATTGTCATCTGTATAGCTTTATTTTGATTGGAAAGAACAAGAACCAATCTCGACACCACTTTGTTTTTGCCGTTTAATCTTGTCTTCTTGTCCAAACACAGTCCATTTAAAACATCTTATGAAACATGATTTGATTTTTCATGAAAGTTCAATTCAAACTGATGTGAAACAGACCAGAGGCAAACATAGTACATACGTGCCACTCCACAGTGAAGCTAAGCTTATCCCAAAATCTGAAAGTGTATACATGATTGAGTAAAAAGAGCAGCTTTTAAAGAAAGTAGCAGAAGATGGAATGTTTTTCTTATGTTGGGTTCCAATCACTATACCAACTAAGTAGCAAAATGGAGTGGTCTGTCCACTGTTTTGCTGTAACCTTATCTTGTTTCTAATTTGGTATACTAGTGTAAACATTATGCATGTGTTAAAAAGTTGAGAAGGGACACTGTGTTATGTTATGTTATGTTTTCACAAGTGTTATTCACACAAGGCAAACATAGTACCCCTTATCTTGCTTTTTCTATTGCTTTTGCCTTTTGTTGTTGGAACTCAAGTCTCTTGCCTAGTCAAGTTAAAGGCTACATTCATCTGCTCTATTCTGTTCTTGTTCAACTATTTAATAATGTAAACTAGTTAACCAAGCACATCCCTACGGGTGCGGCCCTTCTATAGACGCTGCGTGAATGTGGAAAATGCTTTGTGTACCGAGCTGCTCTAGTTAACCAAGCACATGTTTTTTTCTGCGCCTAAATTGCAAAAATCAATCCATCAACTACGTCTCAGTTCCAATCAGGTGGAGTCGCTTATTCATCATAACTAGACTAATTTTACACCACTATCAACCTATTGCAACCTTCGAAAAAAAGAGAATAGCAATTCAACACGGATCTAAAGATCCAAATCCAATGAACACACAAAGCGGCTTGATCAAAGGGTCAGAAAATAGGATGACCGAGTTAAAACATTAGGAACCTTATACACAAGAAAGCCGAGTTACATATAGTGTTAGTACATTATATGAAAATTTAAGATACTGGAATTGCAACTAGCTAGGAATGCATAACTAAAATGAAATAACCACGTATTGAATACAAGGATCCAATAGTTATGACAGTATTATGCACAAATATGAGACTTCACAAATTAAGATATAACAAAAATACATTTTTCTCCCTAAATTTATAGTATACATACATGTAATATGAAAGACACCAATTTTGGGAAGAAATATAATTTATAGCCTTAGCCCCACTCTCTTCAACTACCAACCATTCTATGCCACTTTGATTTCTACTTTCTATAGTGGACTTTGAAACTTCCTCATTCTAATATCTTTTTGTTTTCCTTCTTTTACCCCAACTTATCAAAGTTCTTTATTAAGTTGTTCTATGATATCATGTAATGTTTTTACCTACATCATCCGGTGTTCTTGCCTAAGTTTTTGGATCTTATTGGTACTGTTTCGTGTTACTGTTTCCTTTATATGGTTTATGCATTATTGTTTTCTTTTTAACAATACTGTGACTAAGCTTTTTCTAAGCGGAGGGTCTATCGAAAACAACTTTGCTACATGTGAGATTCCACTTGTAAAATTACATTGGGTTTCTTATTGTTGTTGTTTTTGTAATTATGAATACTATCTACAGTTCCTCATGAATCGTGAGGTATGTGTTTCTCTCGAAGTTCTTATCTCATGTAGGGGTGTGCATTCGAATCGGTTTATCGATAAATCGAATAGATTATTTGTTATCGGTTTATCGATTTATCGATTTCGATTTCGAAATTTTCCTTATCGAGTTATCGACTTCGATTTCGATTTTGTCCTCTTCGGTTATCGGTTTATCGATAAACCGATAAGATATATAAATTTTTTTTGTTTTTTACCCTTATTCTATAATACCCTTTCCTTTACCGTAAGTCCCTAACCCTATTATTTCCTCTACCACATTTAAGGAATGATCATATTTAAAGCTCAAGGGAATGAAGTTCAAATTAATGGAAAACAGAATTAGCTGTGATGATGTATTTTTTTTTTATACCGTTGGAGTGTTGGTGGCATACATTTGATCCCTTACTTTAGTTTCGTTACATGTGCTTGTTGACACAATTTTTATGTTATAAACGGTGTTCGTCTTATTTTAGCTTCTTTTTGTCCATATTAGTTAGGCGTGTTTATAGCGATATATTTTCCGTGGAATCCCGCAAATTTTCTTATTGGTGTAATCGATAACCGAATCGATAAGCCCCAAAAATCGATAAATCGAAATCGAAAAAATCGAAACCTTATTGAAACGATAAGCATATGTACAAATCGATAATCGATAAGTAATTATCGATAAGGGTCAAAATCGAATCGATAAATCGAATGCACACCCCTAATCTCATGCACCTTTACTTGGAAAAATAAATTTACAAGTACTAATGTATACGTCAAATTATTATTTTTTATAATAATAATGGTATCTAGATTAACTTGTGTCCGTATCGACTATTATATTGAATATAACGTAATGAATTAAGAATTTTACATTGGGTGAACCGTAAAATCCAATTACGGAGAAGGCCAAGAGATAAAAATAAATATGACTCGTGCAAATAACAGAGTTTGTTCCAAAATAAAGATCCATTAGTACTAATAAAAGAAGCTTACACGTTTTACATTAGAGGAAACACAATCAATAACTATAGAATGACAAAGGAATTAATGTACATAAACAACAATCATATACAAACAGAAAAACAATTACTTGTACTACATCAACTTTTCTTGTTTAATCAGGCTTTGATTAACCTAATGCACAAAATGAATCAACACTAAACAAAATAATTATGTAATATTTTTTTTCCTGTAAACTAATCATCAACAGCTAGTTAAAAGTGCTGTGAGTTTAAGGGTACTACACTTCTCTATAAATATTATCTAATCCAAATTTTGAAGTATCAACGAGCAATTTCCAATTTTGTAGTTGTGTAGCCTATTTGTTGCTCCATTTCCCAACTTAATTTTGGTGCCACTCCATTATGTTTTGGAACATAATCCTACATAATTAAACACATTCAACATGTTAAAATAGGGGAATTAACAAATACTAATTCAAGATTTTAAGTCGGTAAATACATAATATCATTGCGCCGAAGCATGATGAATCATGAGTAGTACCTCAAGCTTTGACATGAGTTCTTGGGCAGTTGGGGCAGAAATAATTATGTGACGGGCAGAAGGTGTGACGAAACCTTCATCAACAGCTTTGTCTATAAATGACAATAATGAATTGTAGTACCCATCTACATTAAGTAAACCCACCTGCATTTACGTACAACACAAGTTAATTAGAAAATTTAAGAGAATAATTCTTATGGTCCTACATTCATTAAAAAAAAAAAAGAAAATACTAAAGTCGGTCCATATTATCTGTTTTATAAAGTTTTAAATATTCTTAAAAGACTAAAACAATGTTTAATCGCCTTAATCATAAGAGTATTTGTGTAAACGATCCTTAATCTTTCCGCAAACATCTCATTTTATTAACACTTCACTAATAGGCACAGGGGCAGAGCCGAACCCCGTAGCTTTTGTTTAAACCTTGTATTTATCTTTTAGAAATTTATTAATTATGTACAAATAATTATTTAGAATCCGGTAACTTAAAAGAATCAGACTTCCGAACTCATAAGCTTGAAATTCTAACTCCGCCTCTGAATAGGTAGTCCACAGTCGTGTAAATATGAAAAATACTACTACTAACAAATTACTTCTTTTTCTAAAACGATAAATATATTGAAATAAATTCAGTTTATCGAAACAATTAATATTTATGACCGGATATTATAATTTATAAGTTGATAAGCGTTTATTAGCCAAAAGCAAAATAGTGCTATAATTATTAGTCATCAGTCACTTATTTTGTTATTAAAAACAAAAACAGAGGATTAAGACAAGAAATCGTACTGGTTTATCATGAATGCCTAATTGAGCCCAAGTAATGACTTCTAAGAGTTCCTCTAATGTCCCATAGCCACCTGCAAACAAGATTAAGATGAGATTAAATTAGGATTAGTTGTTTCCCAATTAGCGACTAATTAGAATTATTAAAGGTAAATGACAAGCCTGTTTTTGACTGTTTCCATACTTGTGAACAACATTTTGGGTTGTCCACTTACGTAATTGAATGATACGTGTGAAAATTGATATGATATGAAAGTAACTAAAGACTTTGATAATTACTTTTTTAAATCAAGATTTAATAAAGAATAAATAATTAAGTAAAATGTTTAAATTTCTTTTTAAAAAAGGATTAACCTGGTAAGGCTATAAATGCATCAGCTTGCCTTGCCATTTCTGCCTTTCTTTGGTGCATCCCTGAGACTGCCCTCACTTCTCCAATACTCTCTCCTGTAATCTGTAAAAATAAAATAGTATTAAAAATCACATTAATTAATCACAAAAGATATGTGGTAATAGATTTATCTTTTACATAATTAATGTGAAAATTTAAAAAGTTTAGAGTTAGCAAATAAGCGAGTTAGGTCAAACTTGCTACTACTACTAGTAGATGAGAATGGTCAATATTTGACTGGTAAATATGTCAAGAAAAAACAAGACAGTACAAAAGTATTGTACCAAAACCATTAATATATCCAAAATATATGTACTACTCAACAATAAATGGAGCACATAAATATCTCTAGTGATAGTTGTTGTTTTTAAAGGTACAAAGACAAATTACCTCTCTTGGCATAAGAGTTTTCGGAATTACCCTGCCAAAAAAAAAAAAAAGAACACAGGAGATATTTAATTATTGGATAAGATTTTAATAATAAAACAAAAAAACAGAAATAAATGGACTTAAAAAAATATTGGTACCCTAACACGTGGCGGCCACCATTAAAAACTGCTTGAGAGACTAGACCCATTAAGCCAACACTTCCACCTCCATAAACCAAGTCGATGTTCCTTTCAACCTGCCAAATATTATAATTTATTTTATATTTTTAATTAAGACAAGTGTTTTTTAAATATATTTTTAATTTAAACAAACATTACTTGTCTGAATTGCTTACTCCACTAAATTCAACGTGAATCCCATTTAAAAAATAATTACTTCACGTTAATCTTACTCATCACCAACTGTTTTAATTTTGTAACACCAAATTAATCCAACCTGATTTCTTAATGCAAAACTTAAATTAAAAAAAAAAACAAGAACAAGAACAGCAACAGCAGAAAGGGGAAGATTGACTTGTATTATATACTACTGAATTGCTTAAAAGTTTATGCTATAGTACAAAAAATACACATAATATGATGCTGAATCTTGTTATGCTATTGAAACAATAATCCATTGATCTTTATTTTTTAGTTAAATTCAGCTTTCTCCATGTTAATAAAGTTTCTTCATAATTAATCGTACAGTTGAAAATACAAGTACATAAATTCTACTAGTACTTAGTTTCATCCATGCATATTGGGAAATCACATGAATTTCAAGCAAAATTGTTGTTTGTTTAAACACAAAGTAGAAGGATGGGGAAAAAAGTGTATTCAAGTTTCAGATTTAGTACATTTAAAATGAATGTGATCTTATTATTGTGTATTTTAAATATTTTCATAAGTATAAATAGTTTGAGCTGAAAGTAAATGTTCAATTCAACCACAGAACCGCCCTAAACCTGCCTTAAAAAGGAGGAAAACTATGTGATTTGAGGGAAAATTTGGTCTCTGTTTCATATGGTTATATTTGTTTTCATGCAATCATAAAGAATGAAGGGGAGCGTTAGAGCAATAGTAAAGTTGTTTGCGTGTGACTCGTAGGTCACACGTTCGAGCCGTGAAAACAACCACACTAATACTTGTAGTATGGTACGCTGTCTACATCAGCACCCTTAGGGTGCGATCATACCTTGTGCACCGAGCTGGTCTGATTTCTTAAACAAAAAGAAAAAGAAGAGAGGAATAGAGGAAATATACCAGTTGATTGCCAAGTTGAATAGCAGCAAGCTGATAACTAGGTTTATTGCCAGGACTACTCCCACAAAAAACACATATTCTCTTAAATCGTGAAGACTTTGTGAGCTGAGAAGAAGGGTTAATTTGTGGTTGGTGATTATTTTCCATAAGAGGAAATTAGATTTCTATGCTTTTAATTCCTTTCTTTCTGATTGTAAGTCAGTATCAAAGGAAAAGAGAGAATTATTAAAGAGGAGCAAAAGGAAAACAAAGCGTTTGGTTAAGAGGAATTTAAGTCAGCAAGTTTTCTTTGAATTGGAAGCAGAGGAAGTAATAGACAAAGAGGGAATGTGATATTTGAGAAGAGATGCTACTCGGTCTTATTATTGGTCCTTTTTTATATCCATACATCCATCTTTTGATCATTATTTACCCATGTTTTGGGACTTGGATATTCTTTATTCTTTAGAAATTACCTTTATTCTTTAGAATTATGAAAAGTAAAAGATGACAGCTACGGTCAAATTTTTTTATAATAATTTTATTTTTGGCTGCTATAGCAAAGTACTGTTATAAAGAACACATATATTATAGAAGAACTAACTCAAATAATCGCTCATCCAACAACGTAAACTAAAATTAGGCGATAGAGGTATAATATGTGCATAGTTTATGTATTATATATGTATAATTATGTATAAACAATATATAATCTATGTATATGGTTAGAAAAAGTAAACAATGAATATAACCGTTTATGTGTGTAAAGATCTCATTATTATAACATAACATACAAAATTGATTTAAAAGAAATTTAATTGTTATAGTGGAATATTATTATAGAGGATAGCTGTTATAAAGGAGTTTGACTATATTAGCATGGTTAAGGAATAATTATCCCTTGAGTACAATCAAACATTTAAATATCACAAATCGAATTATAGTGTATGAGCTCGAATTCTAATATTTTACGATACATGATGTTTAATTAGCTTTCTTAATTCCTTGTTATATATATATATATATATATATATATATATATATATATATATATATATATATATATATATATATATATATATATATATAGAATGGTCCAATAGTTAAAGTTTACAACATCGGTTTAACCTCCCCATTTTTATTCATTCGAACTTTACTTATTCGATTAATATGCATTCGCTCTATTGAAAGCTCACTGAGGATCTTTGCCGCTTCCTAACGGAAAGGACTCTATTTTCAAGGTTTGAATCCGATATTTTTAATTTTAAAAAAGATGAACCTTTAACATTCCTGTTAATTGTGCAAAAAACAAAAAACAAAAAAATAAAAACAATAAAAACGAGAAAAAGAAGTGAAATTACTAGATACTTACAAATTTGAAATTGAAAATGCAAAAAATTGTCACTTTCAATCTAAAGGCAAAGAAGGTGCAAGGAAAGGTTGTGTAGTGAAAAGGGTCCACCTCTTCCTCTCTATATCGTGGCAATTAGCAAGGGCAACTGGGAATTAACAACTTATTCTTTATATATATTTCTTCTCTTTTCTTTTTTCCCCCCTTTTTCTTTTCCTTTTCATTTTTCCTCTATTATTCTTTTATATTTTTCCTTATTTGTCACCCATATATTATTTTTAATCGAAGGTAGAGAGGCCAAAGCAAATGAATAGGATGAATTTTAGTGAGATTGGGAACCATACTGTCTCTTTTATTATTTTTTGTCATTTTGTTTAATAATGTATAAATTTAGCAGTTTATATATGTTACGTGTTTATTCTCATCTATGTATAGTTTGGTAGGATTTTTTCTTGTTAGAGTATTATCTTTATTAAGGTTTGTACAATTCGTCATTAAATTTTAGAAATGGATAAGATCCTATATTTAATTTTTCACTTTGAGAGCACCGACCTAAACAAATTATTTTCGTTTTATTAAGATATTTGACTTTGTTTTTCTGGTTGTTTGCCCGTTCATTTTGAGGTTCTCTAAGCCAAGATCAGTTGTTAATTTGCATGGAATTAGTGAGCGGTGAAATGTCATAATCTTTCTATTGGATGAAAATTATTTGATTCGGGATTATAGTATTTTATGTTATTGGGTTTAAAGTAAGAATTTATATATACTCAATGGATTTATTAAGACAAATATATGATTTTGCGCTAACATTATTGGGTTTGACCGAAACCGTTATCGAAGCTCTAGCTTCGCCCCTGAGTGTTCTCTCGTCTTTAAATGGTGAATCACTAAAGTCAAATTCATCTTGCGCGGACGTAAGACGATAATTGAAATTAGACTTGAGTATGGGACGAAGACTCGTTCATTTTAATCCCCTTGTGTTGAAGCAAGATCGTACTGAGATTGAGAACACCAACGAACGCTCTTTTAGCCCCATTAATAGTAATTCGTCGTTAAATTGCATGTATTGAAAATTTGAAATCAAATGAATTCAAACAGAAAAGTATAATTGGCTTTAGTTTGTTGAATTAACGTGTAAACACATTTTAATTAGTGTGAATTGATATCATAATAGAAGAAATGAGGAAAAATAAAGGTATAAAGTGAAAGTTTGAAACCTCTTTTTCTTTCCTAAAAAGAGTAAATGGGATAATGCCAATTGTCATCGCACGTAAGATGGGGGAGGATTGGTATGAAATGGGCCAGGAGATAGTGGGCCGGGTTGCATTTTAATATTAGGAACAAAATACATTCTTTGACGGTGCCGTACGAAAATCACGTGTCTAACTAGTGGTCCTTTTTAATTGGGCCACAGCCCCTTTCATCTCTAGTAACTATCCAGCAATGCATCAAAAAGCCCCTTCGACCACATACCTTTCGATATTCCTTTTTCTTTTTTCCACCAGATGTCTCGTACTTGCATTGGTGCCCGATTCATTTGCACCAAAAAGTTATATATTGTGAGATAAAGCGTTTTTTAATAAAGACAATTTCATACTCAGAGTTCGAACCCGAGATCTGTGGTTAAAAATGAAAGAGTACTTACTACTCCACGATAATCCTTGTTGATGTATGTATTCCTTTTTATTCATTCTTTTCTCTAGCTCACTTATTTTTGGTTTTAAATATACTTTCCCTAATGGTTACATTTTATTATTTAAACTAAGCAAAAAAGGTTTGGAACCATACGCGTGTCTATATGTAGTATAGTTGATAATTTGTTTTGAATGTTAGTATACTCCCTTGACCATAGGGTGGAATTAGAAAGTACGTGGTCAAATTATCTAATCCCTCATTTTTTTAATGTGACACTATCTTCTTTTCCATTTAAATTTAAGCATTCCTGTTTCATACGTAGTAAAAAGAAGAGTAAAAAATGTTTAACTAAAAAATAGTAATCAAAAGTTCACCAACAGTTAAAATTATCCTACTATAATTTGATCTCTTAATCTGTGAACTATAGTTTAAAATAAAAAGATAATACCTTCTTACTAGCAAAACTCAAATTTTATGTAGCATTGCCAGTGGGAATGATGTCAACAATTTATATAAATTATTAATTTTGTAAGTATTTATTTTTTTGTTAATATTTACTTTTCAACTCCATACATATGGCATCGACTTTGAGAAATTTTACAGGTCAAAAGTTTCATTTGCTTGGTCTCTAGAAGACTCTTTCATCCAAATTATAGGGTCCATGTTCCTTCACTCTATCCTTCATTTATTATATTTCTTTGGTCAATATCATTCATTTATTTAATTCGTCTTTGTCATTCCAAAAGTTTAAATAAATAAATAAGCAAATAATTCGAAATTTTAAAGTCGTATGAAACATTGAATTCCAACCCTTCCGTCAAAGTATTAATAATACTTGGAACACTGAATGAGAAAAGCAAATGAAACATATCTATTACTATTTACTAGAGTCCATTACTCAAATGGTCATTCAGCTATCCCAAATTATCTCCTAAAGTCACTTTTCTTCGTTTGTAACAACAACGTCACTTAACTATGCCTATAGCACTCAGAAGGTCACTCGACTAGATTTTCCAAATTTTGGATTGCCAAATACCTATTTTACCCTCTAAATTATAAACATTTATCTTCTTTTTATTTTTTAACATTTTAATATTATGAATTTCACCTTTTAATTTATATTATGTACTTACCTATAGAATAAATAAATTTTATTTATAAATTAAAAAAAAAGTAATTAATGCTGGAATATCAAAATAATGAGCATAGTAAAAAATATTAATTAGAATAATTTGTTCGTAATAATAATTTTAGTATTAACAACAAAAATTCAAAAATTTATTTATACAATTGAGAATGAAAGAAAATAAAGGTTGTAAAATATATATTCCATGCATGTAATAAAAAAATAGTTATTTATATAAAGGTATTTTTATAATAGACATTATATATTCTTGAAAATTATGCTCAATTATATTATTATTCCGTCATTATAAGAGCTGAAAACTACTTTTTAAATTTTTATATTATAAATAAAATATATTTATTTTATAGGTAAGTCCATAATGTAGATTAAAAAGAGAAAAAAATATAATATTTAAAAAGTTAAAGAAATTTGATTCTTTAGAGGGTAAAATAGGTATTTGACAATTCAATATTTGGAAAATCTAGTTGAGTGACTTTCTGAGTGATATATGCATACTTTGTTGTTACAAAAGAAAGAAAGTAACTTTAGGAGATAATTTGGGATAGTTGAGTGACCATTTGTGTAATGTACTCCTATTTACTACTAACACTTTATCAATTTTGTAAGATAATGACTGGGCGAAAATTAAAAAAAAAGAAAAAAGGAAGATGGCTTGAGAGTATTTGTCAGTGCGTCACATTGCAAGATTAGGTTAATTCGAGTGGATTAATCGACTTAATTACACTAATCCTTTTTCAAGAATCGAATTATCGAACTAACGCGTGGATAAATAACCTTCCCCCATGTGGAGGTTCCATATTAACCTTGTGGCACGGTCCAATCTCACATCTTATGACAGTCATTAACTCATTATCGTAGTATAGTTTCAGAAAGAATAAATCCACAAAAAAATTAATTTAATTAGGACCAAAAGAGTTTAATCTTTGATTCTTTTAATAAACTTTTCTTGTGTATAAACGTCTACAAAAGGTTAAATTTCCAGTTTAGTTTTCTTGGAAACTGCAAAAATAATACTCCCTCTCAATTTATGTGATGCACTGAATTTTAAAAAAAAGACTTTTGAATTTGTTGTCTAAATAATCATAAATATCAGAATGGATATAAATTATCTTATAGTAAAAAACAAAACAAAAAAAAATTAAAACAATTGTTTTGTAAATATAAAAGAAGATCATTCTTTTTAAAACATATTAAAGCAGAAAATGCTACTCCCTCCTGTCCACAATAAGTAACCAATTTGTTTTTGGCACGCC